TCAAGTGGCACTGACATAACCATTTGAGTTATTCACACCTATGAACATACAAAACATAGAAGCATCCACTTCTGGCTGACCTCAGCATTAAAATTAATAGGCTAATTTGTCTCTCATGCTCATGTGACTTGACTGTAACAAAACAGAGTAGACCAAGACAAGAATCTGCAGATTTTTCAGACTATGAGCTGCACATTTCTGAACATCAAGAGAAGAATGTGCCAGACATCATGGTAACAGGTAACCTTTACTTTACTTTCTATAGAAGGTGTAAAGTCCAAAGTTCCATCACACTATTTCTTGAATAATTAACATTTCGTATTGCTAGCTTTTATAGCAAGTCTATTTGGGATAGCATACATTGAAGTTAAAGCTTTTGTTACGAGGTTGATGGCTGCAATGCTACCTGCCAGTGAAGACAACACAGCCACATGTGCTCATATATAACAGAAGTGCTTATTTAATAAAATTAAGGTGCATTCAGGACCACTTATAAGTCAGCTCTTATAATAGAGCTTTACCGATACTATTTGAAATGAAACTTTGTAAATAAGGTGATAGGAAGGAAAAGTAACAAAAAAAAAGAAAATTAAGATTAGAAAGACATATGCAGAAGGTATAAACTAGAAAGTCATAAAGATTTGAGGAAAGCTGACTGCAAAAGATTTTGGCTGTGCAGAATATTGGAGAGTATCTAGACCAAACAAGTGAACTAATTTCAGGTATGACTTACTTTCTTTTGTCATTACTTTTTCTATATAGTATGTGAGAGCATGCACATAAATTTGAAGTCTTCACAGAGTTTTCATGTTAAGTAAGCAGAACTATCTGTCTGTCACTAATCAGTGGTAAACAGTATTTGCTGTGACAAGGTAAGTGAACAGCAAGCCATCACAAGGCCACATACCTAAAGGACATTGAGCCTAGTCCTCTTCAGGCACCCAATTTCTCTTAAAAACTGGTATTTCATGTTTAGTGCCAGTGCTGTTTCAGCTAGACTGCATGACCCTTTCCTGTTCTCCCACTTCTTCCCTATTATGGCAGCACACCTGTTTCTGTGGCTGTGGGGTCAGCTAAACTGGGAAAGTAATCAGACATAAAATAGAGGGTAGTGAGCATCTTTGCAATGTAGCTATGCTAGCAAATGTGTGTGGGGGCAGGAAAAATGGCCAGAGATGGGCTCTGTAAGCTGCTGCTGTTGTTGCAGACCAAGTGTCTCTGTGGGAGTACAGGTACCTGAACACCTTTGTGACTCTTACCTCAGAGCTCCTAAAAGCCTAGTTGATAAAACACTTGCTTAAAATAGCTTGAATATTCCACTCACTTATTGGTGGTCAGATCAAAAGCTTCAACAGATGCAGTAAGGCCTTCTTCAGTGACACCACCTGCAATGACAATCTTGCCCTTATGGATAGCTGTTCCAAACATTGAGCGAGGCACTTTCATTGGAGCCAAGTCTCTCCAGTCTCCTTTCTTGGGATTATACACAAATAGTCTATTAGTGCATTTCCTGGGAAGGAAAAAGAAAACCTGTGATCATTTCTTATGAACTTCTGGCTTGTTCCAAGCAAGACCTAGTTGAGGTGGTTTGTGTGGGTTTATGTATGTCACCTGTCCTCCCCTGGAGATTCTGTATCTAATCTGGGAATCCTTGCCATGTCTACAAAGCACTAATCACATCCACAGAACTAAATCAAATGTTAAATTCTCCTTGCATTACACAGGGCAGCAATTTCACTATACCTCGGAGGAGAAAGATAACATCCTTTCCCAGCATACTCTATTCAGATGGATTTGTGGATTCAGATGGATTTGTAGGGCAATGGTTATAAAAGGAAGATTATGATGGGTGTTTTGGCTGATTTGACAAACGTGTATCTTAAATATCCCCTGTACAAACACTGAAAAATTACCACCACGTGTTCAGTGTGAGTGAAAAACTTTGATTTTCCTAATGTTATACCCATTAAGATATAACAGGCATCACAGGTCAGAAAACTGGAAAACCTGAGACATGGCACCTAGGTATTTCCATCTGAAAGGAAAGAATACTTCCAGTGAGGGTCCTCATAGCTATGTATTACTAATGTGTCTGCAGTGTAAGTAAAATCTGCCTTGGAAATAGGTATGGTCATTAAAATAACAAGTTGGGATTACTATTTATATGTAATTTACCTTACCACAAAAACAACATCCTACATGCCATAATGTGTTCCCCTCTGCCAGACTGTTAGCAACCTTAATCCAGGGATGCAAAAAAGGAAACACTGATTTCTGAGTGTGAGGATGTATAACCTATTAAGGACCAAACAAATAAAGTTAGAAATTTTCATGAAAAGACTTAAGAGACTTACTTATCATCAGTTTTTCCACCAAGACAATATATCAATCCATTGTTTGAGATAGTAGCATGGCCATATACTTTGATGGGTAGTTTTTTGATCTCAGCCCATTTCATTCCCCTGGAACAAGAAGATCACCATTAGGCTCTTTTAACCAACAACAGGTCATCTACATGTCCTCAGTGGGCATAATTGAATTTTAAACATACACAGGGTCATAGCACAGTACTGAATCTAGTGACTCCTCAGTGCGAAGGTCCTTGCCTGCTATTACATAGATCTTGTTGTCTGACTCTCCCAGCCCAAAGAGACACCTGGCCGACGGCAGAGGAGGAAGGGCGATCCACTCACCAGCGATGCTGTCCAGCTAAAAAGAGCATCAGAACAGGAAGAGTTAGGACAAGCAAAGAGTAAAAATCTACACAATGTAGAATTTATGTAATTGCACTCAGTGTCTCTCAACAGTAAATTTGCTTGCCTGAACACCCTGCCCTTCTCTCAGTGCAGCTAACAAATGATGACTTCTGCCCATGGTGCTGAGATCTAGCAGAGTCAGTGCCACACAGCTAGCTCTCTTTGCATCTGCTCACCCTCACAGAGTCTCTCTGCTTCATTTTTAAGCTCTTCTTCCTTGTTTAAAGGTCCCTCACTCCCAGTTCCCTATCACATGTTGGAAAGAACAAGTGGTTCTTCCTGCCTAAGGGAGCAGACACTCCTCCCGTTTCACACCTGTACGTTTAGCTAGTTGTACTCATTGCTACAATGAGATTCCAGACATGCTCACACGGTTCCTCTTAATGATCATGAAATATCACATGGCAAATGGCACAGATGTTTCTTCTGCAATCCCAATAGCAATAGATGTGATGTTTCATCACAAATACCCTGAAAAGCTCACAAGATCTCTGAAGACACAATGAATAAAGACTTCACTCTTAAGTAAAACAGGCAGGCACTGCAGCTCCCTTGGCAATAATACTGAGGTCATTCCTACTGAAATACTCTCATGGTTGTCTTAATTCACATCCAGTATGCTGAAAACACCTAAAAGGAAGCAGCAGGAAGACAGAAGAAAAAATAAAAGAGTATTTTCCTAGAACTGTGGTGCTTATTTTCTGTTTTGATCTGAGAACATGCAATTGAACCTGAATGATTTCTACTATCGTAAAAGATTATTTTCCCTCTTCTGTTGCATATAGGTTTGCTTCATGTTGGGAAGGGAAGGGGAAGGGGTGTGTATTTGTATGAGTGTGAAAGCAAGAGAAAGTTCAGTCAAAGTAATCAGTTCTGGGTTTAGCTCTGTGACATCCAAGTATGTTCCACAGTGGAGGTTTCAATGCTAAAATGCATCTCCCACACCTGACAGACCACTCCTATTGGACAGCAAGTTTTACTGCAACAGTACAATGTACCTCGTGGGCATGGATTTCCCCAGTAAATGGATCTGGGTGGTGTAATGAGAATATGTACCTGTCACAGATCACAGCTTGCTTAGTGCAGCACTCTTGAACATGACATACCTACTGCTGACAGGGCATCAACTAGTCATGCATTTCGAGCCAGTGGCAGCCCTGTTCTCTCCTAGGTTGTGAGCTACCAAATACAATGCTTCACTGGTAGAGAAAGGAAGATCAGCAAGTGAAAATTGGTTTGACACCACATTAATATTATAGGAGGAACAACAGCCACATAAGTAATGCAGTCAAGTATTTTAACTATAGGGAATAGCAGCAGCAAGCAAGCTTGAAAATGACAAGCAAAAGAGCAGGATTTCAGGAAACAGATGTAGACATAACAGTTGGAATTGATCATCTTAAAGGTCTCTTCCAACCTTGATGATTCTATGATTCCAAAGCAGGATTCTGGAAACTTCATCAATTTTTAATCAGTCTTGAGCTTTAGTTTTTCAGATGCCCCTTTCTAGCAGCCTGAGACTTAAGACTATCCAGTTCTGAACTATATATACATTATGACCTCAACATATTATTTCTATTAGAAGCATATTTCTGTAACAAGTTTTGCACTTCAGTGATTAGTGATTTACACCTACATAAGGAAATAGTGTTAATCCCTCCCCAGCGACTGACTTCCTTCTCATAGACGTACCAAAGGCCTGAAACTAACTCTTTCATGGTGTGTGAAATCAGTGACCCACACTCCTATAAACAATATTTGCATTTTTCCATATCTGAAGGTTTTAAAATTCTATCACTGCTTATCACTGTGCTTTATTTCATATTGAAGCAGGACCTACTTTTACTCTTCTACGCCAATGTGTCTGAAGACGGGACATGGCCAGCAGCATATTGCACAATTCATCACAGAATAGTTAAAAGATCCCCCAAAGCATGTAGCTAAAAACACAACAGACTTAGTTTATGGTGTAAGCATCACGAATTGTATTATTGCTAATTATTCTGAAATACTTTGTGGAGTTAGTGTTGGTATTAATCAGCCTCAGACAAAGATATAAAATTACACTCAGTTCAAATATGGCATTTAGTGTACTCACACCAACAGTTTGCCAAGGAAAAAACCTTCTGCCTCTGAATGACGTATTTTAGAATGTCCTTTAGCTTTCAAATGTAGATATGACAAAAGGACTTCTGCAATTTTAGTTACAGAAGTCAGACTTAAAATACTCACATTACTGCTATCATATAAGTATTTCAGAAGCCAAAAAAGAAAGGTATCTCATTAGATCTAAACTGGCTAAAGCACTCCAAATTCCATGGAAGTTAACAGAAATATAGAAAAGGTTTTTTACAAAAACATTACTGTGCTTTAATTTAGATATCTGTACCAGGAAACATCTGGGCCTTAAACAATGAAAGCCAGTGCCTAGGTAGAATATATTAATTCTTTTAATATTTTCTGATATCTCACCAGAAGTTGATCGTGAAAGAGGAGATGCAAGCCCCTCAGTTTCATTTCTCTGTCTGAGACAGGAATAGCTCTCTCTCAATATTTATCTCCATCACCAAAGAAACTAGACAACTCCCTTGCAGGGACTCAGAATGCTTTTCAGGAACCCTTATAAGCAGCTGTTACTGCACCAACAATTATAAAGCTTGTACCTGGAAGAAGTATGACTGGAAAGGCTGATCCTTGTTCTCCTCTTCCACATACAGTCCTCCAACAATGTAGACCTGATTTTGTTTGGTGACTATACTGGAATGATTTCTGGGAATCTGTTCTGCCAGGGCTGCCAGGTAGCATTCGTTCTCAAGAGGATCATAAGCTACTGCAGCAGTGTCATTAACCAGAAGAATTAGGTCTTTAACGAACATGCCATGCCTGGGAAGGTCATTTAGGTAGCCAGGCAGTAAGTCTTCGTCTCCTACATCACCGTTCACCTCCCCTTTGTTTGACTTTTCTGTGCTTTTGCTAGAGTCAGGCAGTTTTCCAGCAAAAGCATCCTTAACAATCTTTACTTTTTTCTGAAGGTCTGAGTTGCTTTTAATTATATCATCCTTCTCAACCTGTTCTTTGAAATATTTTTCGGGCATAAGACGAAAACGTATGCAGTCAAAAATCTCCCCTAGGCTCTTTACTCTGTTCTCCTTGTCTGTTCGGACCCATCTCATCACTGCTTCAAATACCAGTTCTTCCTTCTCTACATTTAAGCTGTCAGGTGAGATAACTGAGATCAGTTCATGTGGGGCAAGCTGCAGGAAGTCCTCTTCTTTGCAGATCTGCACAAAATGATCTGAAACAAAATCACGGGCAGAAAATGCAAGTCTTGGGCAATCAAGCAGAACACCTAACCGAAGGATGGCCAGACAGTTACCAACAGCAAGTCTCTTCTGGAGGTAGGAGACGCACACAGTGAACACAGAAGGGATCTGAAAGCGGCTGGCCAAAGCAAAAATATCCTGCACGTTAGAATCATTCAGATCAATACTTGCTGAATAAAGGTATTTGACAATCATATCCAGGATGTTAGGGTCGACATTATCTAAAACTACCTCCTTCTTTTTCTCTTCATTTTGCTCAGATAAGAAATACTCACGAAAATAAGGGCTACATGCCGACAGAATCAATCTGTGGCAGGGCAGGCTTCTGTCACCAGCTTTTAGAGAGCAATCTATAAACTTTTTCTCTTCGAGCAGTTCCTTGAGGCCATCCTGAAGGAGGGTGGATTGGTAAAGTCTGAGCTCTTCAGTGAGTTCCCTTTGGGAATCCATTTTGCAAACACTTGGGAAAGGGGAGGGAGCAGAAAGCTTTAGCTGTTGTCTGTCCAAAGGTCTGTCTGTAAAAAAGGCAGACCAATGTGCTTTGCCCTGCCTGAGGCCTCTGCAACTTAATCTCGCTAGTTAAATATAGGTACATAGTCTTACAGGTTGGAATTTAGGATGGATGGTTTGGAAAAACAGAGTTGCTCTTGCAGCTGTCAAAGACTGAAAGAAGCAACTGTTGCTCTTAGTCACTATGGTCAGGTTTTGCCATCACTCTCCACACTGAATCAATAAGATTACGTGCAATGTAAAAAATTATTTGACTTAGTAAAGACAGCAGAATCTGACCTTCAGTGAGACAGCTATGAGCAAGATTGTACATATGCATGTTACTAAATATTCTGAAATAGAAACATTTTTAACCGAGTTGACAGTTGCAACTACTGTTAGCTTTTTCTAAGTTGCTTAATACCTCTCATTGCTGCAGTCATAAACATACTAAAAAACTCCAGAACGTTGCATCAATTGTCTACGCTCTCAGATTATTTTTTTACATAATTGTATGTAATTTCTTCAGATAGTAAGACCTTGAAATTAATTTTGAGTATCTTCGTAATATCCATTTGGTTGAATTTATTTGTAAAGCAAATCCTACTGTTTAGATATAAAATACATGTTATTCAGGTAAAGTTCTGCTTTCCAAAATAATTCAAACTGAAGTCTCCACCCACATGGCAAAATGTTCTTTGAATGTAATGGAAACAGGATCAAAATGCAACTACTTAAATGTAAGGTATAATGTTACCAAAGTTTATTGAAATAATGACTGCTTTTCAATACAGGTAGCATTTCATTCAAATATACACCTTGGAATATTTTTTACAACCACAAATATATTAACACTCTAGCTACTTTACTATCACAGTCAGCTGCTAAAACAGCAGCTGAGAGGAGAGCTCATTTGACTTTTTCCATTTATAGAAAACAGCGCAGAGGTCTTATCTCACGAGAAAACATAGTAGCTGTGTCTTCCTTTAAGCAATAAATGACTCATTTCTCTTGGACACATAATATCATAAAAGGTCTAGTGACAGAGAAGCTATTTATGTGTATGCACCTTTTCTAGATCATTCCTTTTAAAAGTGCTCTAGGGAAAAACTCAACAAAACAACTGTATGAGGATATCTGGATTACAATCAAGTACTTGGAATGATATGTACTGAACGTTTAACAAAATTATGAGACATGAAAACTTATTTGGAACAGTACTGCTTTTTCTTAAACAGTACCACAGCAGTGACACAGCCAGTATGCCTAGATACAACATGTTCTGTGTATGACAATATTTCTGTGTTGCACAACATTAAACAAGTTATAGAAATTTAATTTAGACATAACCATTATGGGAAAGTACATCACTCTATATAATAAATTCATGAATGCTTTAAATTGAGCACCAAACTACATACCTCACACTGCCCTGTCTCAAATAGTGGTCTTCATGTACAGGGGAAAAAGCTTCCTTTTCTGACACAGTTCTAGACAAAATGACAAGCAGTGGCTGGGCCTGGCAGCCAGTGTGTAAACACAAGAACCATGAATTTGTAAACAAAGGGTGGCTATCTGCCATAGAATGGTGGCCAAAACACCATGGTGGACCCTGTGCTGTTAGGGGAGGAGGGAAGCAGGATGAGATGGCTGGTCCTGCCAGATACAATCCTGAAAACACCTGTGCTACAAGTGTGTCAAGGTCTGCAATCAGTCACTCACAAAGCAGTCTGAAAACATGGGGCATGACATGTTACATACTGGCAGCTGGAATGCAATCCCAGCCACCATGCACATAGTGGGAAGGGACTTCCAGGTGCTTATAGCTTGACAGAGAGGGACTTCTCAGGTCCTTACAGCCTGTGACCAGAGGAGGGGTTGGGGCTTCTGGGGCTCGTGGAACAGCTGCCTGCCTGCAGGGGACAGCACATCTCCCCCCAGCTGTGGCCTTGGCCCTTTGGTTAGAGAGTGGCTGTCCTCCCACTACTTACACAAGCAACGTAATAAAAGCAAAGCTTTTAAGCATACAGAGTTTTTGAATGATCCTTCCTTTATGACATAGCCTGAGGGCATATTATGTAATATTTGTCTGCTCTTTAGCTTTGCCATATTTCTTCTCTGCTACTCTGGTATTTCTAAATTCTCTTCTACAGATCTCATAAACCTACTAAGAACCGAGTCCTCCCTTGCTTAGGGAACAAACATGTGCCAGTCTGAATCAGGTCATTACTTCCCAGAGTCCCTGGAGTGTGAATCCATCCTTTAGCTTCTCTATTGCCAGTCCCAGTTCTTCTGAAAAAACAGGTTCCCGATCATGTTGCTTTTTTGAATGCATGAGATAAGAGAGAAAATAAAGGTACTTTTTAATTTCATTATTCCCTTTTAACAACACAAATTTGATAGTATGAGAAAAAGGTGTTCTTACCTTGTTTTCATCAGCAAAGTACGCCTGCAAAAGAAAGCAAAAAAGAATTTGCAACCTTGAAAACAATATTCTAAAACCCAAACCTGCTAATAATTCCTTAGAGTCAAAACTGTATTTGCTAAGTCTTCTGCAACAATCCAGTCCGGAAGGCTCTTACTTCTGTTTAGTAAACAAGATCAGAGTCTTTTCTATGCTGAAATAATTTACACAAGGGTTGTATCAAGGGTTGGTGCTTATTTTTTCATTAAATACCAATCTTTGAGTTTTCCATCACAATAAACAAAGATTTTCAAATGGTAACATTTTCATATTGTAATTGTTACACTGACAAACACTTCATAGAGAAAAAAATGTTAATATGAAGACAAACTGAAAGTATCCTGATATCTTCCGCCTCAGGCAGCAGCATTCATTATTCAAGTTCAAAAATTAGCTTAAAATGTGTAATATCAAAATTCTGTTAACATCATAATCTAAGAAATGAACACAGAGTAGCTGAACAATTAACCAAATTCTTCTACTCAGAGATGTGGAAAGAGATACCATCTTTCCACTCTGTGTGTGTGGAAATTAAGGCTCAAACTCTTCAGGATATCACATCTCTGAAAATATCCTCAGCTCTGGAAATCTCTGGACCAGAAGGCTCTAGATCTTATTTACCAAAAAGAGCCCAATTTTGCTTCAGCTGCCCCTATGGACTGGTGAGGGGCAGCAAACAAAGTGTTTTCCTGCTCAGATGGATCTCAAGCTATACACGACTCCACAGAACAATGTCAAGTGTTCATTCATGGAATACTGGTGTGTAGCCACTCCCTGGGTCCTGGACAATCTGTATGTCTTCACAGCAACCACCTTCCAATCATTTACAGCTTCCAGTTACTGTTTTAGAATAGGCAAAGCACAGTTATTTAACCAAGGTGACAAAGACACCAATAGAGCAAACAGATCTTCATTTAAGGGAAAGGTAGATCTTCAAATAGTTTGAGTAAAAATGGGCAAAAATGAAAACAAAAAAGGAAAAAACCAAGGAAAGATGGAAAGGAAAAGACAGGAGCTTATCTGCATTAGTAAATGACAGCAAAATTAAAAAAAGTGAAAATAAGATTGGTGCTAGCCCTGCTAATTTACAAGACTTCAGAGATTAGTAAGAAAACATGCCAGTTGTCAATGTGTCAAGGGTAGCACTTAGAAATATGTGCAGTCTACCCGTGCAGTCAGTCACAGTCAGGTGTCACTGGGCTGCACAGTAAATTTGCAAACTCTTCAAAAGAAGGTTATCAGGCAACCTAATGCATTTCAAAGTAAACCTTCCTGAAACAGCGGGAGACATACTAGTACAAAATTATTGCTGCCTTTCTACAAAAGTTTCAAGTTTGAATCTTAGATGAATGTTGAACATATAGATATCACCATCTATTAATCTGCTCCACGAGAAGGAAGACTTGTTTTGCTATAATTTATCTGATTATATTATACTGCTGGTTTTCAAGCTACTCCTGATTTTCATGTGTTGAGAAACTACACACAACTGTTCCTTTAAATACCTACTACTATTTATTTTGAGTAATAGTTTGTTCTTTAGTTAAAAATTCATAAACAGAATAAATTCCTCTAATAATCAGGATGTTTAATAAAAGGCATGTAGATGTGTTTTAAATATAGAAAGTACAGTTGCAGCTTATTTTTAATAGACTATTACAGCTGCACATTGCTTGCATTTGAATAATCAAACCAGAATTATTTCATTTTTTTGTTGTCTGTGGATCTGCTTACCACAAAAGCATCTGTATGTTCATCAGATTCTATTTCCACATCATCTGGAACCTGCTCCACTGTTAGGTCTTCAAGAGGTTGAGGCTGCAAATTAAAACACTGAAGTAAGTAAATCCACACATTGGTTTAATGTATTTTTATTGCTGTTAACACAGTATTGTATCTAACTCAAAATAAGTAAGCAGAGTACCTTTTCTTCCATTTCATAATCCACTCCAAATATAGGATTAGCTGAATAAACTTTGTGAAGTGAATTAATCTCTTTCACTGCCTCCTGCAGTTTCTCCACTGGGTCTATTTTAAAACCAAGTACATATCCTCCACTCTACATAACCAAGAAAAAAGAAAACATCAACTTATTAGTGTCAGTGTTTCTCTATGAGCTTTTAACTGTTATCCCATTATATAAAAGGTGAACAAATTTCTTACACAGAAAAACACAAGCAAACAAGGCTGGGACAAATTCAGAAGTGATGTCAGTGACCTATTCGTAGCTACTCAGCAAATGTTTAGTCTGCTAGACCTTGATGTTGTTATTAAAGATTTCAGATGCACTTAACAATAAAATCACCGTTAAAAGCATTTCTGATTAAGGTCAAGTTGAAGAAAAATAATTTTGTCTCTTACAGCAAAACAGATACACAAATGAAAAAGATTTAAAACAGTTGTCTTAATTAAGGGTATTTAACTAGATCCCAAAGATAATCTGTCAGAAGCCACTGTATTTTACAGTTATTAACTAGTCATGCTGCCCTATTGTTGCTTTGCTTAGAAAAACTGTAACTCACAATAGCCATATTGACCTTAACATATATTTTACACAGTGCAAAGAGAACTAAGTTTTCCAAAGGCCACACACAAGGCTAAGTACCTCAAAAGTAGTCCCATAACATTTCAGAATTACAGAAACACTGTATAGAAAAATGTAATCAATAAAAAGAGGCTATTATAGCTTCTTACCTGCTGAGAGCTCTCTATCACAAGTGCCAAGCCAAACTTGGAGTCTCTCATTTTTATTGAACGCTAATAGCAAAGAGGTAAAAACTTAGTTTAAAATTTTGGAATTATTTGATAAAAATATGTTTTGTTTTGTTTTTTTTACACCGTACTAATTACAATTGCTGGTTCTGGAAGCTTGGCTCCCAGCACTCTCTCCCATTACAGATCTGAATCCTTGAACACTCGGGGAAAAGTGTTTTCTACTAAATACTTGTAAAATTTGAAACACAAGCCATTTTCAACACCTGTACCCATGCATGAAAGCCCCCAACTAGCCTGGAGAGAGAGAAAAAAAGAATCTACCCTGTGGTTGATCTGCTAAGACTAAATTCCTCCCTGAATATGGGATATGAAATGTTAATTTTGGTGACCTAGGAGTTTTAACTGAAGACATGAACATTTGCCTAATCATTTTATAAACAATTGTTTTAAGATACTTACAATTTGTAGATATGGTATGCTGACATTGAAGCTGTCATTCATACTTGCATGCCAAACTATTCTCACGTTAGTAATAAAAAATGCTCCCAAATTTCCCTATTAAAGAAAAGGTGGGTTAAAACTGCTTTTAAGCATAGAGCCTTTTTTTCCAAATGTGGTGATTCTTGCTATCCACTTATACAAAAGCAAGGTACTGCTTTGTATTTCATTAAATAGATGCCTGGTTCTTTCCCACCAGAACCAGTCAAAATGTTTCTACTGATTGCAAGGAAGCAAGATCCAATCTTTAAAGGATACAGAACCTGAGTAGTGAAAATAGCTGGGAGTACCTACTACTGCAGCAGAGCAGGATCAAATTACAGAACAGCCAACCTCATGGGAATACACGAAGCATCAGAGAGGGTTCTTAACTGTACAGATCTGGAATTGGCATACAGCATAAGCATAGTGGCATGTGGGTTAAACTTAGGTAATTGTGGAGATGTGTGCCAAGGGAATGTAGAGGAAAGAACTTTTTAGCTTGTCAGGATGAATCATATTTCCATTCTGGACTAAAATTACACAGACAGAAATATCATCTCCCATTTTGTTTAATGGCTCCGGGAAACACTTGCAACTAATGCCCTGCAAAATAATAAATGTTTTCTATTTTTATCTTAAAGTCTTTATTTTTACTGGTTTTAAGACAGATTCCTATTTCAATATTTTCAACTTCTAGTAATCAAAGGACAATACAGTCTTAATGCTGCAGTCAAAGCTGCATGTAAACATACAAATATTCAGCAGAGCACTTTGTAAACATGAGTTTATTTCAGGGTGATATGGAGCTTTAGACTTGTCAATATACCTTTTTAATAGGAACTGTGTATCTACTTCCTTGCATATTGGGCAAGTCATGTGGACTTCAGGTTGCCAAAAAAGAGACGTTGTTGTACTGAGTAGCAAATACATGGGAGCAGTTTCTCTCCATGCATCAGCTAATGAACAGAATTGAGGGTAATTCCTCTGAGGTTACCAAACTATGGTACTACAATTGCTAGATGAAAGATACAACATTTTAACTTGTCTATAGTCAACACAGTCTCATTTTTCACTATACCTGGTCACTTGATAAATTCCAAACTCCACTGATTTGATCATATATTTGTTCCTGTGGTAACAATCTCAGTTGCTTATTTTGAATCAATGCACTCCTCAGCTTCAGATCACGGTACATTTTAGACGTTTCGTAAGCTCTGCAAAAGAGAAAAAATACACATTACAGTTCAGTGTTTTCCATCCTTTACTGTTTAGCACAGATATGAAATGCTATACATTTGCAACTTTCCTTATCACATGTTGCACAAAAATGAGAGTACTATTAAAACTTCAACATAATCCATTATATTTCACTTTACCTGAATGAAATTATCTTTAAGGCTTTTTTTAACTACTGTTCTGATGTCCTGTATTGTTCCATGTTTATACTATTTCCTCCTTTTCCTTAAGATAGTCATCTCCTAGGCTCTATCACAAAGCCTAAGTCCTCTGGGTTCCATGCTATCCATGGCATGGACATCAAGAATCCTTTACTTTTCAGTGCTGGTTAAGTCACAAACACCCTATATATATATATATA